ATCACACTAGACAAGCCATCGCTCGAGTGGAACCCGAAAGGGAAGCGGCGGGAGTTGGTCGTCAGTGCAAGGGTGACTTGGAGGAGGTCATGTGAAGAGGAGATGAAAGCGTGTGGGCAGACTTGGAGTCAGGTGAAGACTTTAGCAGAGAACCGAACGCAATGGAGACGTGCTGGCTGAAGCCCTATGTTCCTCTAGGAATTAAAGGAAATAATAATAATAAAACCACTTTAACTCTCATCATCTGCGTGTGTTTGTGTTAACACATGTTATCATGATAGTATTTATAACAATACTAAAAATAATGTCGTATGATTTTTATAAAAAAAAAAGCAGATTTTTACACTGAAGAAATATTTCATTAGTTTTTTTCCATACTAATCATATGATTTGTCAACGAAATAATCAATATTAGCGTAGAAGTGTTTTGTTTCTTGAACTCAATAAAAATAATGATGCTGAAAAAAGTGTTTAATCTGTAAATGGATATATTAGTAAATTTTCAGGGTGTGTGCTCCAACAAGTCATTAGGTTTAAGGATAAATTTTCTATAGTTTGGTTTGTAAGGGTTAGTTTTGTTTTTACGAGTTGATCATGGATTGATATCAGTTAGAGAACCATTGAAAACCAGCACTGGAGTACTGGACAGCTCTTTCATCCTAGTTTGAGAATCATCGACAGCACGCACCCACCACAAGGGGTTCGAACCCAGGACCTTCCGGTTACAAGGCAAGCTCATATACCATTCAGCCACTGGGACCCGATTCAATGGCTCATGAATTCTAACTTCTACCAATTCGTGATGTATTTAGCGCGACCCCATTGAATCGGGTCCCAGTGGCTGAATGGTATACGAGCTTGCCTTGTAACCGGAAGGTCCTGGGTTCGAATCCCAGTGGGTGCGTACTGCCGATGATTCCAAAACTAGGATGAAACAGCAGCTTTCCAGTACTCCAGTGCCGGTTTCCAATGCTTCTCTAACTGATATCAATCCGTGATCAACTCGTTAAGGATAAATACTTGCCGATTACACTGGCTGGCAGTGGCGCAAACATATATCACATAAGCCACTGGATTCTGTTTTAGTGACGGAAGACTCGGCTTTCTATGAAAATTTACGGAAGCTAGGAAAGACAGGCTACAATTTAGTAAGAAGAAATCAAGACTGATCACGAGATGATATTAGTTAGGGAATCACTGAAAACCAGGGTGTACTGAACAGCTATTTCATCCTAGTCTGAACCTCTTCATCCGTACGCACTCACTCATGAACCCAAACACTAGGAATCTTAACCGGGACCTCCTCAGGGTACAATGCGAGCTCATATATCATTATTCAGCCACTGGGATGGAATCCGATGACCCATCAATTCTAATTTCTCACAATTCTCGATATTAAGCGCAACCGTCAAGCAATGTCATTCCCATACCCAATTTGATGGATCTCAACAGTCACGACTTCCCCCCCCCCACTGGGAATTCAGGCAACTTCGTCTTATACTCGATCACTTGTGAGTACTAGATTGATTTCCAGATGGATCACGAAATGACTTCAGTTACAGAACCATTAAAACCTCAAGATCCCGAGCTCGAAGCCCCCCCGCCCTCTAGTGGTAGGAGTCATAGATGAGCACTGATGAAGAGTCGCATAACTAAGACGAAACACCTGTCCAGTACTACTGAGCTTTCAATGGTTCACTCTAACCGACGACAACAGTTCATGACCAATGGTTGAAAGCAATCGAATCCCTTCAAAGAAAGAAAGAAGAAATCCGTAGAAGAGTTTGTGTGTGCCGCGCATTTAATGCGTACAAGTGGACTGAAAATCAGTTAAACAAAAACAAAAAAAGAACTGACAGTAGAAAACGTGTTGTTCCCAGACAATTCACTACTCATAATCCTATGTCTTCTCTCTCTCTTACCGTCAGCCGTCAACAGTTTAAACACAAGATGGTGAATTGACGAAAACAAAGAAAAACTTCAGTTGATTTGATGAATAAAAAAGTTTACCACTATATTATATACTCTGATACTATCTATATCTCCTCCTAAGATGTATGTTAGCTATTTTTTTTCTCTAAAAAGAAAATCGGGGATTTTTACACAAATACAAAACAACAGTCAATGAGGGATGATTACTCAGTTTGTGAATAAACATAATAATAATACGGAGAAAAAAGCAGACAGTAAACATCATTAAAATCTTGTTTTACAAAAAAAAAAACAACCAAAACCATAAATTCCTCAACAATTTGACTGATTAGACTTTTAAACAGATGAAGGAAATTTTCGGACTAGTGAAGAGCAACTCATTTAAAGATGGTTATATTAATAATAATAATAATAATAATGCCAATCCTGCTTAACGCGGACATAATTATGAGGCGATTGACTGACTGACTGACTGACTAACGTACTATCAATATAGAACTTTGCACAGAAGTGCAGCACATCAAGTGGTCACACTCCATGTACCACACAAAGGTTACATACAATAAAAGAGATAAAAAGACCTTATTTCAAGTATTGGTTTTGTAGGGTTATTTGTTCTATTGCATGGAGGATTTCATCATGAGCTGACAACAGTTAGAGTACCACTGGAAAACAACCTGGGAGTACTGCCAGACAGCTGTTTCCTCCATCCTAGTTTGTGACTCTTCAGCAGTACGCACCCACCCACTGGGACCCCATCCCAGTGGCTAAATGGTCTACGAGCTCGCTAGCCTTGTAACCACAAGGTCCTGAGTTCGAACCCCGGTGGGTACGTACTGATGAAGAGTCCCAAACTAGGACGAAACAGCTGTCTGGTAGTACTCCCAGGTTTTCCAGTGGTACACTAACTGTTGTCAGCTTATGATGAAATCCTCCATGCAATCAAAAAGACCTATAATAAGCTAAAATGTGGGGAAAAAAACAAAATGAGAATTAAGTGTGGAAATAGGAGAGATCACAACGGGTGAATGCATCCAAGACACTGACAACGATGCAGAGGATGCCAACTAATAAATAGGCAGTTTAAACCTCCTCACATGGCTCTCAAACGAAAATGTTAAATCTTTCGTCGACCAGAAGAAGATATGAATCATAATTAATGTCCGAGGTTTAAAAATTTAACCATCTATAATTATGTTGCTACCAAAGTTGAGTTAGATGGAATATGATTTGAAACCATGACGTGAATGGTGGAAAACTTGATGATTAAGCTAAGAAGTTACATCCTTAATGTTACTGAAAAGCAACAAGAATACTGATATAACTTTCTAGACAGACAAATCGGGTAATTAATACATTATACATTTAACATTGTCCAAGAAATCTTGAATTCGTTCACCATTATTACCATTTATTACTACTCTCTCTCTCTCCGATAAGCGCGAATCTCCTCTTCACACAATCCCCTCCATGTCATCCACGTAACTATGCCCAACTTGGTACTTCCCATTCGGCTCCCACTCAAGCAATGGTATGACGCGTGATATCACCCAACGGTCTCCTGAGTTTTTTTCCGATCCGCCTTCAGCATCATCAGCAGCATATATGCTGGGAGATAGATTCTAGGTTGATTCGTTCCTAGGGTTTCTTGTTTCTAATCTTTCCTGGCCGCCTGATCTCCAGTATGGAGCGAAGGAAGTTGTTAATTAGTTTGAATGACTCCAGCACATCTACTCGGCATCCTGTGTCAATCAGGTGTTTGGCGATTGAAGATTGTACCAAGGAGCCTCCGGTTAAAGGGACCGAATTGTTTAAGCTCTTCAATCGCCAAACACCTGATTGACATAGGATACCGAGTAGATGTGCTGGAGTTATTCAAAATAATTAACAGGCAAAGTACCTCAAGTCTTCTCAGGCTTGCTGAAGCTACAGCAATAAAACGATTGAAACCTGACTTATGTGTCCAAAAAGAATCCGTTGTTGAACTTCAATTACCCTGGTGACTCACTTCTTAGTAACTCTTTGTTTTCTAATTTTGTTAACTAATCTTTTCTCACTGTATTACATCATCAACTTCTCATCTAACCTCATGTGCACCGAAATTTTAAAATTTTGATGTTCTCTTATCTAATTACGCAACTATTACTAATTTTCTTTTGTTACCACCTCAACAACACAACTGACAATTAATTTTTTCAAGAAACTTCTTTCTAACATGATATATATGTCGTAACACTTTAGACACCCTGTAAATCGCAACGCCTTATTTTACTATGACGCTCTGACAATATGCTTGCTAATGGACAAAAGTTTGTTAAAAACTGTACACTTTTTATTTTTATTTTATTAAAGAATTCAGGTTGTACGCAGCTGCTGATGAGAACCAACGAAATAAAATGGATCCAGATTATTCTGCGCGCCAATGTTTCTTCTTTCTTTGTTCAAATTTTTATAAAAGAATCATTGTATGAAATTCAAGAACCTATTGTCCAACGAATATATACTGAGGTAAACGGAGACAGATCGGATACATACGCTGAGGAGCAAGCAGTTGGAGTGATATCGCGCGCGCAATGCAGACCATCGATCGACAATCGAAGCCGATTGGAAAAAGGACGAGTACGCAGAAGATGGAAGTTTGTGGGTAATCGTAGGATCAGCTAAAAGAGGACTGCAAAAAAAAATGAGGTTGAAATGGAGATGTGCTGTTGAAGCTCTATGGGCCACTTAGAACCTAAAGAATTCCTTTTTTATTCCTTCACGTTTCCCAGTGGAACATAGGGCTTCAAGCTAGAGGCTTGAAGTTTCTGTAGCAGTAGTGTTTATTTTTACAGGATGTGGTTGCTAGCCTCATGCCCAACCTTTCCTCTTTACCAGCTTTATTTCTGGCTTAGCGAGGTAAAGGAGTGCGTCGGTGGCCGGGGATCAAACCCCGGACCATGTGTATGGTCGGCGGGCGTCCTAACCGCTGTGCCACCGACGCACTAGAACCTAAGGAATAATAACACTAAAAATACTACGAGAGAGAAAGAGATAAGACTTTATAAAAATGAAAAAGATAAACTTACTCTCCTGATTTCTCTGGATAAAATTCTTGCCCAGTACAATTGATAATTTCATTTAAATCTAATTCTTTTTGACTAATCAATTTACTACTATTATTGTTATTAGTATTATTATCAGTAGTAGTATTAACGGTTAAAGGTGAATGTGAAATATTCTGTTTCTTAGTATCTTGAGTACAATTCATTGAATCTTGTCCTGTTTGATTCTGTAATCCTCCACCGTTAACTAAATGTTTGTTTTGATGATTTTCGACTGATGCTGCTGCTGCCACTGTTGTTGTTGTTGTTATTGTCGTCATCATTGTATTATGATGGTTTGATGTTGGCGATGTCATACACTCGCCGCCGCCGCCTCCTCCTCTTCCTCCTGTCGCTCCATTCTTCGATGACAATCCATATATATTCATGGCGATATCAGATACATCATTCGGTATAACTATCCTGTATTGTTTATATCGCAGACAGATTGTAAGAGGACGGAGTGGCAGTGGAGGGTTGTCGCAAAAGTGGTACAAGAAAGTTATAAAAAAAAGAGAGAAACAAATCATTAGTTTCAAACTTAGTCAACAGTGAAGTTATATTGATTACAGGATTTCATCATGAGCTGACATTGGTTAGAGAACCATTGGAAAACCACCTGTGAGTACTGCCCGACAGCTGTTTTGTCCTAGTTTGGAACTCTTCATCAGTACGCACCCACTGCCAGGGTTCGAACCCATAACCTTCTGGTTACAAGGCTAGCGAGCTCGTAGACCATTAAGCCACTGAGACCCGATCCAATGGCCAGTCCATGAATTCTAACTTCTGCCAATTCACGATATAGTGCAACCACTAGCCAATGTCTTCGGCGAGTATTTGTCCTCACACCCGACCTGCCGTACCCTACTGGTCACGACTTCTCACTGGAACCCTAGGTAACTACCTACCTGAATAGGGCCAGTCGCCAGTGAGCATCTCATTGATATTCAAGTATTGGTTATATCTCAGATAGTGTTTCCCATAGGCACTTTCTCCATGATGTTAAAGACGATGGCGCTGATTACAGAAGTTCAAATGAAAATCTAAATCACAGAAGGATTATAAAAACCATCGACCCCTGAATCCATAATTTGTCGCTTTTTACGAGTCGATCGATCAGCTCCAAGACCTCATAACCTCATAAACGACCTGGTTCCTCTAAAGGTGGTTATATACTTCATTCGCCTCCTCTAAACTCTCTCTCTCTCTCACGTGATCGCGTGTTCATTGCCTGCCTCTGCCGTAAGGTAGGCCCTCTATTCCCACACGCAAAAATGGTAAGGGTGAATTCGAATCTCTGGGGTTTACAACAAAACTGTGGGACATGGGCCTCTAAATCCGAACAGATTGAATAGCGTATGAACCAGTTCTCGTCATCAGAAATCATAAAAAACGTAGCTCCAGAACGCTACCACACTGCCGCCTTGTGGATCAGAATTCACTTAAATTAAAAGGCTCAGAGATGGGTTGCTCCTTTAGAAAACAACTACCTGATTAGGGGGGGTTAGGTTGTCCGGGTAGTATATCCTAACTGTCGAACTAACTGTGACATTTTTTGTGGCACATTTCTCGGGGCTTATATAATAAATAACTGGTTGCTAACTAGGTCATCATTTCAATGCAATCATCACGAGTATTGTTCAGTTATCATATGAAGAAATGGTAGGTTACTGATTCTGTTAGGACAGACAAGCCTCTTTGCTAGCCATAAAGTCATGATTTGTGGATGTGTACTGATATAATTAACCTGATTGGATAGGATAGTTTTTCTTTATTCATTTATTTATTATGGCTGTATTGTCTGAGGATCTCGACCAATAAGATTTGCTTATTTATTTATCCAACAATTTGGGTGGGGGTGTGAGGATAGGCAATTAGGAGTGATGGTAATCCAGTTTCATAGTCGTATTTCTGAACATCATCCAGCAGCATGGTTAAGCAAGGGACAAACAAGATCTATTCGTAGTTTTATTTTAGCACACCTTGTAGGCAGTGAGCATAAGGTTGATATGAATACTGCATTTAAAATTATGTATCGTATTCCGACTAATCTTAATTTTGCTCTACGAGTTCGTCTTCCTTAGACAGCTGAAGCAATAGGAATCCACCTGAAGAAGCCAAACCTGTGCCTGTTCAGAAGAAATTTTTACAGCCACTTTCCTTACCGTGGCCATCGTTACAATACAAGACTACGTCGCCCCCGTCCCCTAAACCTATTAAATTATAATTGTCCAAATTATTTTATTTTTACTTTTATTTTGACCACTTTATCTTTAATTACGTGTTATCCTTGTAAAATTAATTTATTCTATCCATTTCTACTTTTGAAATGTGTATTGATTCTCTGAGTTAAGTATCAACCCATTGACATTTTGACACTGTTCAATTATTGTTAACAAAAATATCAGTGCCACTTGTTTGGTAAACTGTTGTGTATTGTAATAAAAATGCTATACATGTATATTAGAGTAGAGCCACAGTGAGATGAGGATTTAGATGAAAAGTAAATATTTCTTCGCTGCTCAATCTTTCTGTTTTCCAAACCACAAATTGACAAAAGTTGCGATTCAGCGGAAACTAAAGGCTGAATAATGGTTAACAGACTCAACTGCCAACGTGAAGTTCTTGATTTTGATTGCCAGTGACTTACTTATGCATGCGCGTTCTACGGAAGAGTCTCAAAATTAAGGGAGAAAAACGACTATGCATTAGTTTGTAGTGTACATTGAACCCTTGAACTTTTGTTTTGTTTGAACTCACTCACCCGACTTTTGGCACTTCTTCCCCCTTTCGATTCGTGAATCTCCTGTACGGTTTTGGTTCGCTCTCTCGTTGTGCTTTCATCCAGCACACTCTCCGAGCCTACCACCACTGTCAAGACTGCAGATAAGTGTATAACCTCTTATTTTTTTATGAAATTTCATATCTCTTTTGTGTAAATATAACTCTGTTCCAGTCACATTTGTCATCTTAAGTCTTTTTTCCTTGATTCCATTCGTTAGTATTTGGACATTAGGCAGAGTACAACTAAGGTGATAAAGCGGTAAGAGTGGTTAAGAGTGTAAGAGTGGTTAATTTAGGTCTAAGTTAAGCCAAGTCTAACTCTTACAAGTTTTTGGTTTTCAATGGTTCTCTAACCACAATATCAATACGTGATTGAAACGCGAATATTTAAAAAAGAAAAAACAAAGTCAAACAGTAGTTCAAAACTTACTCATCTCGAATTCCACCATCTTCTAGATCATCTTCTTCATCTTCTAAATCCTCTTCACCTTCAGATGAACCATGAATACGAAAACCGAATTCACTGATACGATCACTAAGAGATTCCTGAGCGAAATAGAGATAATAACGATGAAATAATAATTAGTGACATGAAACTAAGCATCAGGGTCAGTTTTTTAACAGAAATACAGACTACTGATTGAATTGACATGAGTAGTTGTTTACCCTCCCCCCCACACCTCAGATCAACCAGTAGTACTTGCCAGCCAGCCGGCCAGATTGAAGTGATCTAAACATCAGGCGGCCGTTCCGCTGGTTTGGGTAGTTTGAAGTGAAGTGAAAATAAGATCCTGATTTTTAACTCCAATGTGAAGTCAGTCAGTCCTACTTACTATACGGATCAGAGACTTGGCCAGCGCCTCATAAAGAGCATCTCAAACAAACTACAGACCTCCCCAACAGCTGCCTTCGCGCAATAATACTCAAGATCAGATGGCTGGTCAGAAGAGATCAGCAACAGCGAGGGATCTCTGGCAATGAGCGAACCAACTCAGCAGGAACCGATTGTGAAACAAATAGGCAGGAAGAAATGGAGATGGATTGGTGGCCATACTCTGAGAAACCAAACCATCAAGTGACATCACTAGACAAGCCATTGCTCTAGTGGAACCCGAAAGGGAAGCGGAGGCGAGTTGGTCGTCAGTGCAAGGGTGACTTGGAGGAGGTCATGTGAAGAGGAGATGAGAGAATGTGGGCAGACTTGGAGCCAGGTGAAGACTCTAACAGAGAACCGAACGCAATGGAGACGTGGTTGGCTGAAGCCCTATGTTCCTGTAGGAATTAAAGGAAATAATAATAATAAGTGACTCGGCTATCGGAGCTGAGACAAACCGGGTACTTCCTTGATGAGCTCGGCTTAAAATGAGCCAAAATGTCATGCAGTATTTCGATCACCTCGATCTGGCTGGTTGGCTGGCTGGCTGGCGAGCCGAGACAACACACTACACAGATCAAGGCACTCGACTGGAATTCATGCAGCCAACCACCAGATGAGAGCCTACGCAGAGTTGTCATCTGAAGTGGTGACAACTAGTGGTGTTCGTCAAGGACACCAACTGTACCCATTTCTCTTTGATTTCATCAGAGATGTACTAATGGACTTAACTCTAATTGACTTCAGAGACTCAGGGTCTTCTTGTCTGTCTGGATTCAACATAGAACTTCTCACCGAAGTGCACCACTTCTAGTTCCCACGTTCCAAAGAGCACACAAATGTAGACAAGAAGATGAGAGTGAAGAGAATCAATAGAGATTTGACAAGTATAAGAGTGAAACAGAATGAGTAATGGTAGAAAGGAATATGAAAGATTACCCAAGAGACTGAATACATTTGCGCTAGCCATTGACAACGATTTTCAGCCAGGTCATGTCACCTATTGTCTCCAGCCATTGATTGATTCTTAGAGTCGAGGGCGGGCCCCAACCCAGAGGAAGTCTGCATCTCCCTCCCTACCTGACTCAGCTTAACTGTCAACGATTTCATGGATTGATGAGGCCATGTTTTTGTTTGGCCACCACTTACTCTATTCCAACCCACAACTATATCAGCTAGTAATGCCCGTCCGTCGGAGGCAGGGGGGCGATGGTTAGGCATGCGCAGCACGTCACCTAGCCATCTCAATCGATGTAACTTTATAGCCTCGTCGATTGATTTTCCCTCTTTGCCCAACCAACACTCTACGCCTAACGTCAACGTTACTTACCTTATTAAACCACCTAACGTGAGAGAGAGAGAGACTCAGGGATTGACTTGTTACCATCACGGAAAAATCTCGTAAACCTAAAATATATGAATGATATAGTCCCCCCTCCAAGCTAAAGACGCTGACAAAATCCAGCAGAGTCTTCTGAACACCTACCTGCAGCACCAATCTGCGAATCTTTGGCATACGATTCAGGTACTGTCAAATGAAAGATGATACTACAGGACTGGACTGGACTACATCGACTCACTCCTAGCTTAAAGATAGGGAGTGAAGTGGTAGAGCGTGTTGACCACTTCACTTATATGTGGGGAAGTTGCATCAGCCAACACCATCGGGTTGATCACTGAGGAAATCACAGCACGGATACACAAGGCTCGTTTGGCATTTGCCAAACCTTAGTAGACGTGGTATCCAGCTGGCTGTCGAACAAAGGACATGTGTACTGCTCAACAGTTCGCTCTGTCATCCTTTATGTCTGTGAGTGATACACGGTCACTGAAAGTGCAACAGATGAAAAGCCCAGCTAGTTGTCTCTAGCCATAGGTGTTTGCGTTCTATCTACATCACGTGTTAGGTGGTATAATAGGGTGAGTAATATTGAGGCTAGGCATCGATCGAGTGTTAGGTAAGGAGGGAAAATCAACCGACGACGTTGTATAGTTACACGGATTAAGATGGTTAGGACATGTATTGTTACACCTGCATAGCCATCGCCTTCCTTGACAGTCAGGTGTCAATGTTAGCTGACATGGGATGAATCACATCATATAATTATGAGCAATAATTTGTGCTCGAAACACGTCATCAACACTGTGTTTTATCAAAATAAAATCTTATCCATAATGGAGTTACTATATTGCACCATCCACTGGTGCCCTCTTCATCGTCTAACTTTGGTAGTGACTGCCTACTGTCCGATTGCGCGGAGAGCGAGGTTAGATGGCCCAAGTTCAAGGACTTATAAGGCAACTTTTAACGCGACTTCCCAACCCTTACTACTCTTTCTCCTCTTGAAGGCACTAAGGTGCACTGCAGTTTGAACTTCCTACTACTGTTTCGTCAAGGATACTTGTAGACTTATCAAGCGGTAATAGTGATGTCGGTATCTCACTCAGCAGTGATTGCTATTCAGTCAGTCATACCCTTCAAGGGTGTATATATATACGCCTTGCTACAGAGCTTCCTAAAACCCCAACGTATCTAGTCTCATATACATATATATGAATACAATGTTTACAATATAATGTTTGCGTCGGTGGCATAGCGGTAAGGACGCTCACTAACCAAGCACATGGTCCGGGGTTCGAACCCCGGCCGACGCACTCCTTTACCTCGTTAGGCCAGAAACAATGCTGGTGAAGAGGAAAGATTGGGCATGAGGCTAGCAACCCGAACCTGTAAAATAAACACTGCCACAGAAACTTCAAGCCACACTAGCTTGAAGCCCTATGTTCCAATGGGGAACGTGAAGGAAGAAGAAAAAAAACAATGTTTCAGTCACTTTAAAAAAAAAAATAATTATAACACATGACCAATAAATGATACACACAACACCATTGTCTACTTACCGGATGACTACGATCCAAATAGAGGAGACCATCGGCAGCCAACAGTTCACGATCGGCTACATCTAAATCCCATTCTTCGGGATTATCACTTGGTATATCAAGACAAGCGTGTGGTGGAGATTTAGAGAACTCGCCAGAGCCAACATCATCACCAGTGTGTTTAGAGTAACAACTTGAATCTCTATCCGTATTAGTAGTTGTATTATTATTACTACTACTACTATGATTATGATTAGTAATCATAATACTATTTTCCCGTTGATTCTCATATTCATCTTGTGCCATAATACTAGAAAGATGTGAATCGATTGTAGTCACTGTACCACGATCAAATGATACTGGGGATAGACGTTCTGACTGATAATGAACGATGTCATTCAAATCGTCAACATCACCGTCATCATCATCATCATCCTCGGTTTCAGTAGGCTGTTGTTGTTGATCATGTAAAGATTTCTCTGCCTCCACCGATTGAATTCTATCGTTCATGTTTCTGCTCTGCTTAGAGATATCATCAACACCATTAGAAGAGTTAGGCATAATACTACTTGAGGTATTATCAGTAGTCAGAGCATCACCATCACTGCTACTTGTGGTATTCAACTGGTGGATAGATTGATTCACATTCTGTGAACTGATATTCAGATGACTCACTTGGATTAAATGACTTCCTAGAATATGTGACTGAAAATAAACAAAATAAGGAAAATAAAAAGGGACATGTTGAGCCCAGGGAGACTTAAGATATGTACAAGTTATCAGCATAGGACATTATACAGAGTATACTCGAACATTTCAAACAACACAGAGAAATTTCATGCAACCGGTTCCCTTTATTAGTTTGAAGAGAGAGAGAATGAACATGTTTGCAGGATAATACGAGCTCGTTTTATTTCGTGGATTCTCATCAACTGCATACATCCTAAACAAAATCAAATTATAAGTTTAAAAAAGGTTTGGAACATACTTTTTCATAATTACTTTGAGTTATAGATAGAAGGCATGAGGAACATAATTCCAGAATTTGATGTAGGTAGACAGGTTATTCGGTGTCAAAAAAAACTAATTATGAGCTGACATCAGTTAGAGAACCACTGGAAAACCAGCTGGGAGTACTGGACAGCTGTTTCGTCCTAGTTTGGGACTCTTCAGCAGTACGCGCCCACCGGGATTCGAACCCAGGACCTTCTGGTTACGAGGCGAGCTCGTAGACCATTGAGCCACTGGGACCCGATCCAATGGTCCTTGAATTCTAACTTCTGCCAATTCACGACATAGCGCGACCATTTCGCAATGTCTTCTTGGATGAGTAACTGTCCTCATCTTCGACGTCGACGTCGCTTCTCAGAAGCCATTGCTATCAAGAGATTTCGACCAGACCTCTGTATACAGAAAGATAGTGTGATTAATCTTTCACTACCTTGGTAACCCTAACTTTATTTTATTTTTGTTTTGCCTTTCTGCCAGTATGCCTGTGTGTTTGTCTTGTTACGTAACATTCCATTCAATTTTGACCTTCAAGTTTCTAAATCTACTTAATTGTTTGTCTGTTTAAGTTATAAATGTTACTTCACTATTCACCCCCACCCTCTTAAACTCTCCACCACAAGATGTGTAAATTTACTCTGTTCTCTGACCCTGACCCTGTAATATGCCTCTAACCAATCTGTGTTGTTTTCCAATAGAAATCTGAACTCTTACCCCTCTTATCTAATTCCACTATATATAATTAGTTGTTTTTGACACCGAATAACCTGTCTACCTACATCAAATTCTGGAATTATGTTCCTTATGCCTTCTATCTATAACTCAAAGTAATTATGAAAAAGTATGTTCCAAACCTTTTTTAAACTTATAATTTGATTTTGTTTAGGATGTATGCAATTGATGAGAATCCACGAAATAAAACGAGCTCGTATTATCCTGCAATCATGTTCATTCTCTCTCTCTTCAAACACAGAGAAAGAAGAGAAAATGAGCTTGATTTTCACAGCGTACATTGGTGCGCACAAGAGATCATCAATCAGTTCAACTTACAGTAATACATAAAACCCAACTAACTGATGTGGTGATCGGGCGTGCATATCATGATAACCTAACTTGATGGAACTAATGTTCCTGTAGGTGGTTCTACCATACCAGAAAGGTGGTTAGGATAGCGATTAGACTGAAAACAGTTACCAGCATAGTGTAAGAGATGTTTCCACTATGCTTGTGGTCTGTGGGTAAAGTCATACTCCTGGGGAAAAACACAAGGATGTAACCACAATATGGTGTTTGCCTCAGATGACCATGTTCGCTTGGGATATGGAGGGGTAGAGAGCAATAGAAAATTCTACTTCCCGATTTTCTATTGTGACGGTCCTTAGCTGCCAGTTAGATCTTATTAGGGACGTAACTCCAAAAGCACAGTTCAAGCAGTTATCCTTACGGGTCTGCTAGAGTACCAGTCAAAATCGAAGTCAGCAGAATTCCTCAGAATCCTTCGATTAATAATGAGTCTATGAGTCACAGTCTTGAAGAATGTCCATCGTGAACCCCAACAGCACAATAGGAACATCTCTGCCTAAAAAACTGAGCGATGCGGTTAAAATCTCCGAAGAGGGCATCAGTTGCTTCATCGTTGTAGATACATCTTGTTGACCAGACCCAACAACCACAAAACTTGGGTCTGCGGTTTGCTCCCCGAAATCCTTTCAACCATAGAGTGTAATCTGACGGCGAGTAATCCTATTGTGTGTATGAATGTCCACGAACACAATTCAACAGAAATATCGATATCGAACCCCGGTGGGTGCGTACTGATGAAGAGTCCCAAACCAGGACGAAACAGCTGTCCCGTACTCCCTGCAGGTTTTCCAATGGTTCTCTAACCAATGTCAGCTCATGATGAAATCCTGTAACCAATCAACCAAATCCCTACAAACCAATACCTGAATATCAATGAGATGCTCACTGGCGACTGGCCCTATTCAGGTAGGTATTCACCTGGGGTTCCAGTGAGAAGTCGTGACCAGTAGGGTGCAGCAGGTCGGGTGTGAGGACAAATACTCACCATGGAAGACATTGGCTAGCGATTGCGCTATATCGTGAATTGGCAGAAGTTAGAATTCAAGGACTGGCCATTGGATCGGATTCCAGTGGCCTAATGGTCTACGAGCTCGCCTTGTAACCAGAATGTTCTGGGTTCAAACCCTGTCGGTGGGTGCGTACTGCTAAAGAGTCCCAAATTAGGATGAAACAGCTGTCTGGCAGTACTCCCAGGTTTTCCAATGGTTCTGTAACTAATGTCAGCTCATGATGAAATTCTGTAACCAATCAACCAAATCCCTACAAACCAATACTTGAAAACAATTTTACTTTCAGGTTGAAAAACAAAAAAATTAAGCTTCTTTTCAATCAATAACTCTCCAGTCGATTCTTAATGACAGTGGATGCGAACTTGACCCTTAAACAACTCGTATGTCATCATTGGGAGTTACATTGAACAATGAATGATCAAAATTTTCTCTTTTTAAAATATTGCGAAGCGAACCACTTGAATTTTGAACGTTAAACATTAAAAAAAATACAAAAATACTTTCATCATTCTAAATGAGGGGAAATAAGTAGGACAGGGGGCAGGATGGTAAATTATTCGTCACAACAAGAGGAATGAATTATGCATTAAAAATCAATAATTAGGATTTGAGATATACAATGTATTGATTATATATTTCTACGAAATAAAAAAGGAAAAAAGGCAGAAAGAGTAAGTAGGGAGTGAAAGGAACGTTAACAAGAAATGTAGCAGTTGTATAAATTGAGAAAAGGAACTTAATTCATTCCCTCAGTTCTAGGATAAGAAAAATTTGTAGTTCTGATTCCGTAGACTCGGAACTTGACTTCTTAAAAGCCACTCTCGCCGAAAACGGTTACCCTAACCGATTTATTGACAGCAACATGAAAGATAAGCAGTCTAAACTGGTCACCGACACAGTTCCAAAGAAAACATTATTCATGAACATGGAATTCAAAGGTGATCAAGATTCAGATATGCTTAAAATTTGTCTCTCTAAATCAGTCAGTAAGACGTTCTATGCAGCAAAATTACATATGACGTTCACTAGCCGCAAGTTGCTCTCTACCTCGGTAAAAGATAAGCTCCCCCGTCTGGCCACCTCCATATGCATCTATTAGTTCACCTGATCTTGTGGAGCAAGGTACATTGGCCGTAGCCAGAGAACGCCGCTTTCCACATGGATACGAGAACATATTCCAGCCACATGGTTTTACAAGGGAAAAAGGAAGTGTGTGAGAAGCTCTATTCTGGAACACCTGATCGACTCCTGTCACTCTGTCAACCCTGACCATGATTTTAAGATCACATATAGAATCCATGCTAACTTCCCGCGTTTTCTTCGTTACAAACTTCTAAAGACAGCTGAGGCCTTGGCAATTCATGACTTTAAGCCAGACCTTTGTGTACGAAAGAAGTATGTACAATCCCTACTTCTGCCTTGGCCGTAGAGGGATAGACATTTACTTATTTTGTTTATTTAGTTATTCTATGTAGCTTTCCCTTATTACTACGATTATTATTACTATTCTCACTCTGAATCTTTTCCACTTGACCCACTTGACATTTTAAACCCAAAATTATTGGTTTTTTATATTTTTATTTTTACAATATTGAATTCTATCTTATCAAATTTCACACCATGTTATGTAACATTTTATATTCGTCTACTAATCTTATAATTTTTATAAAAACCATATATATACGATTGTACAGCTTGATAATAAATTCGTTGAAAAGAGTCTCTTCGCCGAATATTGTGTTCTTAATGCTACAATGGGAATTATTTAATTATTCAACTGAGAAAGACAAAAGGAAAAATAATAGATGAATTCAACTGGAAGGATTCAAAATAATCAAAGAAGTACCTTCATATTTATTGTATGCATTCATTCCACCGCCTTCTTTGTCGAGCAGTGTTAGCTGACATACGATTTTAAGCAGGAAGAAAGAGAGGGGGGGTGAGGAGGGAGTTAGGGAGGTTCAATGAAAAAATGACGTCAATCTGTGATGTGTTTATTCGTTGGTTTAAACCAGCCACATAGGAAAGTTTAGACTGTTTTGGCTGGCTTGTTCGGGTCCTCGAAACGCTAACAACTAATGGTTGAAAGCTGCTAGTGAGTGATATGATTCAACATCGTTGTCACTGGGGCACACAGATGCATTCACACCCTTTGTGACCCGTCAATATCCAATAAAACCCCGTATCTGGTGTTTCCATGTGTTAGTTTTCTCTCTTTCTCAGTAACATTTATGTTTAGTTTATTATATTATCATTATTCTTCCCTTGGGTTCCTAGTGGAACACAGGACTTCAACTGCACGTCTCCACTTATTTCTGCCTTCTGCTGTACTTTTCACCTGCATCCATGTTACTCCATACTGTTTCAGCTCCTCTTCACACGATCTCCTCCATATCACCCTTGCACTGACGTCCCACTCGCCGCTTCCCTTTCGGGTTCCACTCGAGCAATGGCTTGACGCGCGATGTCATCCAACGGCCTCCTCAGCCACGAGTGTCCAATCCATCTCCACTTTCTCCTGCACATTTGTTGGGCGATTGGTTCTTGTTTTGTTTGTTCCCATAGTTTCTTGTTGGTGATTCTTTCCGGCGGCCATCTGATCTTGAGTATAGAGCCAGCGAAGACAGTTGTTGATAAAGGTCTGCAACAGGCTGTTGGAAATATTCTTGGTGACCCGCCAAGTTTCTGATCCGTATAGAAGAACTGACTGACTTGACCTCGTTTGTATTGAAAATCCGAATTTTGTTGTTGATGCTGAGCTGAGTGACGAAGATTTCCACATTGGTTTCAGGTTGAATGTGTTTCTCGCCTTCCAAATTCTCGATTTGACATCCTCGTCCTCCGTTCCTCCTGTAGTTGAGACAATGCTCCCTAGATAAGTGAATGAAGTAACCTCTTTCAAATCCCTCCCATTGATGGTGATTGGCGCTGGAAGTTGCTGTTGTTGTTGGTTTATTTTAAATAGCTTTTAAATCACTTTTCTTCTCTCTCTTTCGTCTACACCTTTGTGTGCTGCATGGAATATGGCGACTTTAAAGTGCTGTGCACTTCTGTGCACAATTTTACCATGCAGGTCAGTTAATCACAATCAGTTGTAGGGATTCAGCTGACTTCAGTGCAGATTTCACCACACATAACTACATTAGTTGAAAATTCACTGAACACAAGATATCGCTAAAAACAACTGCTTCATCCTAATTTGAAACTCTTCAGTTGTGTGTAAACACTATCCCCCCCCTCCAACCCACCCAATGGTATCTACACCTAGTGGGATTGAATTCCGACAAAATCTACTTTCAAACACACTTATAATAACGATTAAGTCCATTTATTGTTGGTTACTGACCCACTGACTGGTTTCAATGTAGAACGTAGAAATGAAAGGCAACAGTTCAACATACATTCCAAGTACCACAAAAAAAAAATACAAAAGAGAGAAATAACAGTAACACGAAAAAAAATTAAGAGTAAATGGATACGAGAAACCACAGAGTGAATGCATCTGCCCCGCTAACAACGATTTTGAGCCAAATCACCTATTGTCCCCAGCCATTGGCTCTCTTATCTTTGATCATAAGTGTCTGCGTTCATCTCCCGCGTGAAGTGGTATAATAAGCTGAGCAATATTGAGGTTAGGCGTGAGTCGAGTGCTAGGTAAATAGGAGAAATCAATCGACGAGGCTGTGAAGCTACATCGACTGAGATGGTTAGGACATGTGCTACGTATACCTAGTCATCGCCTTCCTCGACTGACGGGCAATGTTAGCTGATATAGGGTCAGGATGGAAAAGAGCTAGCCAATGGTGGTCAAACGAAAACATGGCACCAGTCAATGAAATCTGCAACAGTTAGTCTAAACCACGTAGGAAGGTATAGACTTCCTGGTTGGAGTCCTCGGGACGATAAAAAACGGTGGTTGGAAACAATTGGTGACATGGCTCAAAATAGTTTTTTCTGATGGTGCAGCTGAATCCACTCTTTGTGACTTACGATTTCCAATTAAACTGTTTTGTTCTTCGTTATTACTATACCTCTGTCTCACACCTCTGTTTACTGTCTCTAATATGCATTTCTCCTACTTTCTTCTCTTGCTTTGTGTGCTACAAGGAGGGAGTGTGGAGACTTGAACTGGTGCACATTGGTGCAAAGTTCCATGTCGAAAACAGACAGACAGACATTGGCTCTTAGAATCCCACAGACCCCAACCCCGAAGTCTACACCTTCCTATGTGGCTTGTTCAAACCAAGTGTCAAAGATTTCACGGACTGATGAAGTCATGTTTTGGTTTAACCACCTGCAATTCGTTTCGAAAAAAAATCCCATGTCAGCTAACATTAACTGTTGGGGAAGTCAATGCCGTCGGAATGCGCAACACCTGGCCAATCCATACCTAATTGGTTCACCTTCACAACCTTGTCGATTGATTTCCCCTACTTACCTAGCGCTTAATCGATGCCTAACCTCAATATTACTCACCACAACATCCTAGATATCTATGGTCAAAGACAGTCTATTCATATCTTCTACGCTAGAGATGATATATAGGTTGGTAAATGAGATTTGGCCAGCAATCAGTTGGCGGGGGTGGGGGGAGGGCGATGCATGAGTGGAATGGTTAAACATATTTACCATTTCCCGCCCTTTCTTTAAGCTTAGAGGATAAAATTTAAGTGTAGTGGCATGGACGAGAAATTCAATTGAAATAGTAAGAAGCCACACCATTCCCATCCAAAGAGTATTCGGGCGAACAAACCCCCCCCCGGCCTCGCCTGGTCCACTCCAATTACACCTGACCACAAGAAATGATAATGCATAGATAGTTTACTAGTAGAATGCTCACCAGACATACATACAGCAGAGATCTGGGTTGAAATTCCCTGCTTAACACACAATTTTTAAACCTTGTCTAGGGCGGTGGTAGTAAGTCGCCGTCTAATGCATACCATAAATTTAGACATAATTGTTACATGAAAACTAAATTATTTTAAATAGAAAACGTTAAATAAAAATTTTTAAAAAAAAACCAACTTTAAAGTTGATTGTATTTCATTGTAAAAATACACCTAATTCACTCACACATACATTACATAAGGCAGTAAAATTATGTGGAGTAACAGGGAAAGTAATAGTAGGAGAGTGTGACGCAATTAATAAGTATTGTTACAGTTAAAATAGTAATTATAGCGATTTAACTGTCTAGTTTCTCTTTTTGGTATCCGGTTAGGCTTACACTATGCAAAAAATGAACTGATTAAAGTACAAAATTTCATCACAAACCAATATCAGAATTTAACTGGTGGATGGTGACTAGCAGTGGAATCCAGGATAACGCACATTTCGTCCTATTTGGGACTCGTCAGCTAGTGGATGTACCTGCATTCCCCAGTCAGTGAGTGATGATGTTCTCACCGAGGCTCGAACCCAGTGCCCATAGTTTGGCGTTTGAAACTATGGGTGAAAACATCATCACTCACTCACTGGGGAATACAGGTACATCCACTAGCTGACGAGTCCCAAATAGGACGAAATGTGCATCGTGGATTCCGGTCGGTCGGTTTTCGCCATAGAACTTTGCACAGATGTGCGCCAGTTCAAGTTGCCACACTCCCTCTTTGTAGCACACAAAGCAAGAGAAGAAAGTAGAAGAAATGCATAATATAGTCAGTAAACAGAGGTGTGAGACAAAGGTATAGTAATAACGGAGAACAAAACAGTTTAATTGGAAATCATAAGTCACAAGGAGTGGATGCATCTGCGCTAGCCAGCCATTGAGAACGATGAGTTCGAGCCATGTCACCAATTGTCTCCAGCCTTCATTGGTGTTTACCATCCCGAGGACCCCAACCAGTCAGGAAGTCTACACCTTCCTACGTGACCGGCTTAGACTAACTGTTGTAGATTTCATTGACTGGTACCATGTTTTCGTTTGACCACCACTGGCTATTTCTTCTCCAGCCTTACCCTATATCAGCTAACATTGCCAGTCGGTCGATGAAGGCAATTACTAGGCATACGTAACACATGTCCTAACCATCTCAGTCGATGTAGCTTCACAGTCTCGTCAACTGATTTTCCCTCCTTCCCTAGCACTCGACCAAAGCCTAACCTCAATATTGCTCACCTTATTATACCACTTCGCACAGGAGATAGAACGCAGGCACCTATGATCAAAGACAGCTAATCTTTTCATGTCTTTCACTTTCAATGGCCGGGTCTCACACCTAGCAATAAAGGAGGACGGAGAGGACTGATGAGCAGTACACACGCCATTTGGTCGATAGCCAGTCGGATATCACGTCTACGCCAGAGACGGTGTAAACTGGCATATGCGAACCTAGCCCTCTGTATTCGTGCTGAGATTTCGTCAGAGATCACCCCGTTGGGGCTGATGGTACTTCCCAAGTAAGTGAAGAGGTCAACGTGCTGCTCTACTACTTCACTTCTTATTTCTAATCTAGGAGTCGGTGTAGTCCAATCCTGTGATATCATCTTGCATTTGGCAGGAGCGAATCGCATGCTAAACATTCTTAGATTGCAGATCAAGGTGTTCAGAAGACTCTGCATTTTGTCAGCGTCCTCACCTAGAAGGACTATTTCGTCTGCATATTCTAAGTCAACGAGATTATTCCCTGGTAGCAAGTCAATCCCTGAGTCTCTGAAGTGAGAGTTAGGGTTAAGTCCATTAGTACATCTATGATGAAGTTTAGAAATGAGCCGACCGGTCGGAAGTTGAACTCAAAAACAAACACCACCACCCCCACCACCACCGCGGCATTGTTGCCAAGCATCCTACAACATCGTATTACCAACGCTTGAGATTTTACAAAAGAGTATAAACGATACAATACCAAAGTATGTTAAAAATAAATATCTCTCCTAAAAAATACGCCCCCTCATCTGCATCATAAACAGACAGAAAGACAGACAGACGAGTACGCACAAACACACAGACACAACAATGTGAAGAAACTCACCTCAGAATCAATTGGTAGAAATTGTGCCTCTAATGGATCTTGAATTATTGTAGGCTCAGTAATTGCTAAACAATCAGAGTGGTTATTATCATCATGATTAGAATCTTTATCATCATCTTGACTTTGTGTTTGTGAAGGCTCATTGACACATGGTGATATTGGCGGTGATACTAATGCCTTATCAACAAGATTATCATCAGTAACACCACCTTCTTCTTTATCCTTAGTTCAACAAATACTTCGTCATCATCAGCATTACATGGGATATTTGCAGTTGATGGACTAACCGACGAACGCGTAGACGCAGATGATGATGAGGCTGATGAAGATGTTGTTGCTGTTGATGACGACGCTGATGTTGATGACGCCGATGCTGACGACGGAGATGTAGAGGATAATACTGATCCTGATGAACGAGGTGATAATGATAATGATGATGATGATGGATTAGTATTATTAGATAATACTGTAGTTTGATGACTTTCTGACGTTGGATCAGTAGTTGATACAGGATCCAGCAGATTCAGCTGACTCGATGAACATGAACTGCGTGGTGATGTTGAAGCAGATGAAAAACTTGATGAATTATTCGATGAATAGTGTCGATGTCTTGAATGTGAAGAAGAGATGATTGCATCATTTGACACAGAGGATGCTGACGGGACATGAGCTTGTTGAATCACAGTTTCAATGCTTTTCTTCGGTAGCATAGATGACGAAATACTACCATTACTGTTATTATGATTATTTAGATTTAGATTGAGATAATTTAAACCGGGAGGTTTCAGTGCAGGTGTAGCAGTCGGTGCTGAAGCAACATAAGCAGGAAACGGCGTTGGCAGTTCATCCATAATACGTATTTCTTCAAGAATTGATTTTGAGGTAGACGGATGGTGGTGGTAGTGATGATGACCATTTTTACCACTGACAACAACACCGCCTGCATCATCATTACCATTGCTGCTGGTAGTGGTTACAACAGAATGTTCAATTAAAAATTGTTGAGGTCTAGCCGATTGAATTCGTTCCATTGGTGCTATACAATACGATGATGATGACGAGGAGGATGTTGTTGATTTCTGTACAGTAGTTTCAGTAGTAGTAGTAGTAGTAGTAGTAGTAGTAGTAGTAGTAGTAGTAGTACTAGTAGTTAATACTGAAGGTTTATATTGTGACTGCCAAGGTGTATGCATTTTTGTCGGTGGTTCTGGTCGACTAGATGATGTTGGAGATATATGACGTTTTAAATCATTATTTTTATTATTATTGTAATTGTTATTGTTACCTGCAGACTGATCTAATTTGATTGGAAATGCCTGCAACAAAAAAAGAAAGTGGAACGGGAATTGTTCCGAAAAAATTTCGGATGGAAAAACACAATGAAATATATATGTAATGTATACACATAAATATACATCCAAAAAAATAATTTCAACTATATAAGAATAACAAGTGAAAAACTATCAGGACTTTAGGTTCAACAAGTCTCAGTAGGAACATCATCATTGGGGACTCACTGCGGAATGTTACTGACGAGTCCCGAATAGGACGAAACGCCGACCCAATCAATTAAAAGGGAAAGTCCCAAAATGAATTAAATAATATCAGAACAACTTTAGTTGACAAGATAGCCATCAGAAGAGAACCACACCACAGTGAAATTAAAGTACAAAGTATGGCAGTCTATTTAAAACTGGCGGAGGGGGGGGGAGCTAGCAAAAACCTTCATCAATACGTTCCCCGTATATAATTTCTATGGTGTTTAAATTGATTAAATCTATTAAAAAAATATGACGTCTAATGGTATCACATTTACTCTCTCGTGAATATTTAAAATGTTTGGTTGGAACCTACTGTTTCTAAAGTTTCTAATTAATAAACATGTATTCCAGTGTACATGAGATAACTACTGGCGCCTGAGTTAGGATCATCTTTGGATCTGAAAAAAAGATGTACTTGTCCTGTACTTTTTCAACTAAAATGTCGTCATGCATTTCACGAAGGAGACAAAGAAAAAACATACATCGAAATGGATTGGATTGTTGCACCTCAGGTAAAAAAATACACTGTGTCACACGATCTACTGTCAGTTAATTTTTTTCAAGTATTGGTTGTAGGGATTTGATTGATTAATTAATTGATTACAGGATTTCATCATGAGCTGACAACGGTTAGAGAACCATTGGAAAACCACCTGGGAGTACTGCCAGGATGGTCGGGGTGGGTGCCTTGCGCTGCGGGTTGGCCACCCCTCCGCACACCTCTTGAAATGCTCCCATATGACCGGGCGTCTTACATAGCCTCTCCTGAGGAAGTCCTACTCATTGCCTTCACGTGGCGGAGGTGTTTTCACAAAAGAGAGGCGAAAGCGGATGCCGGCGCTCTTCACCGGTTGATTCATGTACAGTTAGGGAGATGGCTAACCTGATTCAAACTCAACGACTGGCGTATGAAGCTCACCGGCAGACGTATGGACAAAGGGCTTGTTGGATGTCCTGGATGTCTGGCCCCATTCAAAAAGGCGTATGAACCGAACTCCGGTCACCGGCTGCCAATGGATAGTGGACTCCCTACTCCACTCCTACTGCCTTGTAGGTCACACTTGGTTGTGTAAAGGCTAGAGCTGCACTCTCAAACAAAAGGCCGAGCGATTCTGGGGACATCACTCGTACCAAATTCCCATGAAACTTTATGAACTCTCTTAATTGGATAACCTGTCGCAAAACCTTGCATCAGATCGCCGCGCCTGGGCAGCGATGATTCGAGATCCTCATGAAGCCGGCTCATCCTCCCGTAGGAGATAGCCGAAGTAAGTAAGTACTGCCAGACAGCTGTTGTTTCGTCACCTAGTTTGGGACTCTTCAACAGTACGCACCCACCGACAGGGTTTGAACCCAGGGTCTTCTGGTTACAAGGCTAGCGAACTCATAGACCACTGAGCCACTGGGAGCCAATCCAATGGCCTACCCGTGAATTTCAACTTCTGCCAATTCACGACATAGCGTGACCGCTAGCCAATGTCTTCGGTTGAAAATTCTGTGCACTATATAAATACTCCAGAATAAAGCTGTTATTATTATTGTTAATATAATACCACGAACTTTGACACGCCAAACTCCACATGACCTTCAATGATGTTAAAATAGTATAATAATAATAACAATAATAAATCCGAAAAACTGAAATAATTCCCACACACGGTAAGTGAGTGATTGATTTAGTTAGTTAGTCAGTTACTCAGTTACAACTTAGGCACTCAAAAATTGTTTCCCATAAACTGAACTAAAAGCCAGACACATATACTGCCCTCTGTGAGGTACACTAATATTTCTCAAAGACTGAAGCGAGTAGATTTGCAGTTACAACACCGAGGAGTCAATTAGTTGAAAAAAAACCGAGTCTTGAACACAACGAATCACATAGTTAGTAGCATTGATCATAATATAATCGAAAAAAACCAAACAAAATCAAATGGTGTATAGTGGAAGTTTTTGCTTTAAAACACTCTCCGCCCTTTTGGGGGGTTGAACGTTTCAACATCAACCTAGATATCATATAAACACAATGCACCATCAAACATGGATATAAGTTGAAAAGTGAATCAAAACAACTGATATACAAGTGTGAAAAAAAATAGTAAAAGCAAAGCAAAACAATCAAGTTTTTTTCACATTGGATTCAAACTTCAACACTGACTTTATTTATGTTCAACATTAAATTCTTAAAGTGAAGGCGAGTCTATCGTGTGTACAAAAGAATAAAAAAAACAGAAGAAAAAAACCAAACCTGAGACACATGACAAACAGTGTGATTGATGAACACACATACAAACAGAGGATTACCAACTGAAATTCATAAAGACAACGAAATAAGTAGATTTACGCAAAAAGAAACTGTATGTATATTGATTCAAAAGGAGATTTCATCTGCGATATTTCAGCACCTATGAGAAGAACATTCTACGCGGCGATGCCTGAAGTAGTGTTTTCCAGTCGTCGATTGATCGGTAAGAGGCCTGAAGTACAAGATTTCGTATCTAACCACTTCTGCGTGCTTCGCAGTTTATTACAAACCCTGGATGAAAAACTTCAAAGGGAACGGCCTGGATTCAGGAGAAACAATTCATGTATGAACAAAGCTTGGAATGGCAGTCACCTCTCTATCTCAACTTATTCGACTTTGAAAAGGCCTTCAACACCGTCTGATTTCCCAAAAACTGGAAGATATGAAAGTGAAAAGCAACAAGTTGGCACAAGAAGCATTCAGAGAAGATAGGACTTCAGTTGAACATTGAGAAAACAGAGGTGATGAAGATTCCTGGGCTACACCACCAACAGCAACAACAACAACGACAGACAACAATCACCATAAATGGGAGGAACCTGAAAGAAACAACCTCCTTTATCTACCTGGGAAGCATCTTTTCAACTACAGGCGGATGAAACTGACAAGTATATCAAAGCAGCGAGAATCGGAAAAGCAAGACAAGCTTTCACTACTCTCAAGTCTGTGTCGACGTCAACAGCACTCAGCATGAAATTGAAAATAAGATCCGGATTTTCAACTCCAATGTGAAGTCAGTGCTACTCACTATACGGATCAGAGACTTGGCCAGCGCCATCTCAAATAAACTACAGACCTTCATCAACAGCCGTCTTCGCTCAATACTCAAGATCAGATGGCCGGTCAGAAAAGATCAGCAACAGATATCTCTGGCAATGAGCGAACCAAAACAGCAGGAACCGATTGTGAAACAAATAGGCAGGAAGAAATGGAAGTGAATTGGTGGCCATACTCTGAGGAAACAATCAAGTGAGTGACATCACTAGACAAGCCATCGCTCGAGTGGAACCCGAAAGGGAAGTGGCGAGTTGGTCGTCAGTGCGAGGGTAAGGGTGACTTGGAGGAGGTCATGTGAAGAGGAGATGAAAACATGTGGGCAGACTTGAAGCTAAGTGAAGACTCTAGCATAGAACCGAACGTAATGGAGACGTGCCTGGCTGAAGCCCTATGTTCCTCTAGGAATTAAATGAAACAATAATAATAATAAGTTCTGTGTGCCACCATTTCAGTTCATCTGTTCCTGTGGTGCCAGGTAAGTTTTTCATTCGAAACGTATTGTGTCTAAAAGGTTTGCAGAACACTATCCCACCGCATGGTTACAGAAAGACAGCAGTGGTTCTATAAGGAGTACAGTAATGGAACACTTTGTCAACACTTGTGTCCCTCTGTTACCCAAAACAAACGTCCTTCTTTAAAGTAACCTAGAGAGTGAAGAATAACCTGCCAAAAAAAGCAATACGCTTTCGCCTCGTTTCTATTGCTGAAGCTCTAGTCATTCACAGTTAGAGAAACCGATCATCGTAACAACTTTACTGATTTCCACCAACTTGACTTTAATTTGTTTGTTGTTGTTTTTTGCCTTTTCTTCCAAAAAACTCTTAAGTGATTCTAGACTCTCCCTCATTTCTATATGCATCCTGGTGACAAATCATCCGTTAAAATTAGTCACCCTGTTACATAACTTCAGTATTCCTTATACAAATCCACCTATGAATTGACTGATAGTAACAACTACGATAATGACAACTCACTCACCACTTTGTGTCGGTGGCATAGTGGTTAGGACGCTCGCCGACCATGCACATGGTCCGGGATTCGATCCCCGGCCACCGACGCACTCCTTTACCTCGCTAACCCAGAAATAACGCTGGTGAAGAGGAAAGGTTGAGCATGAGGCTAGCAACCCCATCCTGTAGAATAAGCACTGCTACAGAAACTTCAAGCCACTAGCTTGAAGCCCTATGCTCCACTGGGAAACGTGAAGGAAATAAAAAAAACGTGAATGACACCTTTCTGATAATTATAAAAAGAGTCGATGATTTGAGAAACACCCACACCCCTACTTAACAAGCATTTTGAATGATATAAAATTCACAAGATAATCAAAATTAAAAGAATTAAATTCCACTTTAAGACATCGTAGTCAAGTGAACAACTAACTATCAGAAAATTAGAAAATCAAATCATATCGATTAAAATAATACTCAATTAGATTTGCAATAGCCAAATAGCACACAAAAAGGAGTTCCTTTACAGGACGCATTGTAGCACTCTTGCCTTGAGTCTTCAAGAAAACTTCATCAAAAAAATGCCTACTACCCACAACCACGCGCGTCAATACGACTCAAAAGTCTCTCCAACCAAAGAAACAGCCAGAGAAAATATCTCTGAAATCGCTACACAAGAATATTATGAACCTTTTGGAATCGATGTCGACTATTAACCGACAAATTCACTTCACAACTTGGTTCTATGTCAATCAAAAAGACACAACAACGAAGGAAGACAAAATATCAAAATCATCTACAGGATAAATTGTAACGGATTCGAAAAACATTACTTTAATCAAAGTGGACACTCGCTTCTTCATCTTTGCGGCCATGAACTGGTGTGGTCGTCAGAAGACACCATGTCCATCGCCTTATATCATAGACAACGGAACCACCGAAATAACTGTCCAGAGAACTTCTGAAAGCCTGATATATTCAGGTGAATCAGGTAAGATTTACTAATCAATAAGATGGAAATCAGGTAAAGTTCAACAATAGCGTCGTCCCAAGGGATGCGAATGCACGAGTGACCTTGACCCCACCAATCATGAAAATGAGGAATTTTCGCACAGAAAATGACGTATACTTAGAAGAAAATTCATGAAAACACAGGGTATCTTTCTCCGACATGACTTTAAAATACGTCCCAGTTATAATCAGGAGTAAGTAAGTAAGACTAGTTTCTGTACATGTATTCACCAAGGGGACTAAAGATGACCTGCTTTTGTGAATCGTATATCTCTCTTACCCTGTTGTGCAGTCTTCCCCAAAAGTCCTCGCGGTTGAATTACTATGGTTTCCAGTGAAAGGATCGACAACTACTTACCAGGAAAATGTGGATAATAAAACAAATTGAAATAAATGACATCAACTATAAATCTATCCCTAATCGTAACCATAACCTTAATCCTAACCCTAATTACAACCCTTATTCTAACCGTAAACCTAACCCTAATACTAATTATGACCCTGATCCTAACCCTAACGAGCTATTAACACATCGTCCAAAACAGTACTTAAAAACGTGATCTAGGTGAAATTTGCTCCTTAGCTGGTGAATAGCGTTGATATTTCAGCTATGATTATGACAGGTGCCGTTAGTCAACGACTAGTACGCGTTTAAGAGGTCATTTGAGCATGCGCATTCCTGGGGCGCTATTATTATTGAACTTCGCCGGAAATCATATAGACGAAAGACCAACCAATGCATAAATGTGAAGTGAAGGATGAGAAAATCTACAGGAACAATCAATCACGTCCAGAGTTAGTAGGAGAGATGGTTGACAAACACTCAGAGAAATTTAGAAGCTCTCTTCAGAAATTAAAGTATGCAGAGAAGATGACGTCTAGTAAGATAATGAAACCTTCGAAACAACCAAAACAATATCACCGTCAAATTCAATTTTGATTTTCCCATAGATCGAATGGACCGAAATATTCGCCGCCCTGTGTTGAAATGTGTCGACTTCAAGTGCAGACGCTTCAACGATTTTGTGAGAACTAACATGAAGCAAATTTGATGGATGGACGGTGACTAGAGCAGTGAAAGAATCTAAGATGTGTATTTCATCTTATTCAGGACTCGTCAACTGGATATGTCTGCACTCTCCGGTGATTGATGATCTCCCCTCCCTTGGCCTTAAATGTCCACAGCCTCTGTTGACATGTTGGCTCCTAGTGCAGACACGTCTTCAACGATGATGTCTAAGGGGAACAGTGGAAACACCATCACCCACTCGCTCACTCATGGGGGGGAATGAAGGTACATTCGTCTACTGACGAGTCCTAAATGGGACGAATCGCTACGCATACTGGTGGATTCCATCACACACTGCTAGTCACCAACACCCCCCCTCCAAATGACTTCAAAATAATCATAACAATAATTGTTATCAATATCAAGAGTGAGTAATTGTCATTCTGTGACCATTTGCAAACGCGCGCACACACTCATACACACACACACACATAGAAAAGCACACACATGATTGCATTCGCCTTACACGCGTAATAAAAACAATCATAGTTATTATTATTATTATTTATACAAGCGTTCAAAAAGGAACTAAACAGCAGTGGAAAAAAACAGCGACAACAACAAGACAAGCAAAGACGGAGGAGAACACAACTACAAAAGTTATCATATAAGATAGTGATAGTGCAAAGTCACATGCATTTTATTAGACAGTGTATCACAATGTATCTCTCTATTACATTGGTATATATGTAGGGTATATACTATTTGAACAGTAAGGTAATTTTGACAACTACGACGTTGCATACAACAAACAAACAAACAAATCAACTACTCCTCGTACCGATGACGTACCGACACGCTATAGTCCACATGACAGCAATCATGCATACAAGTACACATATATGCCTGAGTGTATATATATAAATATATGCATGTTTAATATATATAAGCACGCAGTAATGGTGATAAGTAATGTGAATGATAATATGACAACACATACAAACACGCAACCTCTCCACTCCACACACACCTACACACAAACACACTAACGCTGCCAGTCTAACCCATTCACCCACACACCCATACACACACACTTACGTTTCGTGATTGCACAAGTGTGCGATCCTAAAATTTGGAGAGAGATTAATCACACAGATATAATAATAATAATAATAATGCTGAAAAAATACATAATTTTGGCCTGTTGATATATAGATATCATAAAGTATTACATAGACTGAAACATATGACAGTGTCACATGCGTCTGTATAAGTGTGTAGTAGGTGAACGTGTAACAATGCCTACTAGATAGCCTGTTAAATAAAATGGACTGCAATCAATACAGCTTGACTAGACTTGATTGACAGAAATCAATAAAAATCCAACAATTTGAATACTATTGAATACTATTCGCATTGTAAATCAGATCATATGACACACTTTAGATAAGTATAATATATGCAAAAGTGAAATCCACTCATCATCTATCTTTACACCTCTACACATAATTTTTTCTTTTAAATGAAGATTTTATGGTGAAAGAAACATCAGTTAGAGCAATATATTATAAACCAGTAAATTGTGGACAATTGTTTCATCCTAGTTTGGGACTCTCTTCATCAGTACACATCCATGACTACGCTAACTCGTTGACCATTCAGTCATTTGGATCTGAATTGAATGACGAGTGAATTCTAGCTTTTGTTAAGTCATAATGGTCCCCCCACACCACTGACTCTCAATTCAAAGACAGTGTAAGAGGGGTGGTAGCGTGTGTTTGACTACCTCCCACTTACTTTGGAAGTTGCATTCAGTCCCAACAGATTGATTATTGACGAAGTCTCAGCACGGATATAGAAGGTTCGTTTGGCATTGCCCAACCTACGTCATATCTGGCCGACTATCGAGCGAAGGATGTGCGCGTACAGTCTAGTACTTCAGTCTATCCTCCTCTGTAGCTGTGAGACATGGCCATTGGAAGTGGAAGATATGGAAAGGTTGGTTGTTCAATCTCCTCCACTAAGTGGTTTTATATGGTGAGTAATACTGAGATTAGGCGTAGAGTATGAGATAAAGAGGTTATGAAACTACATTGACTGAGATGACAAGGACACTTGGTGAGCATACCCCGCCATTGCCTTCTTCAATGAGAAATATAAACCGATATTGGAAAAGGGTAGGAGGAATAAGAGTTATGGGGGGGTGACTAAATCAAAACCTGACATTAATCCATGAAATCTCAGGAGAGGTATAAACTGCTTGGTTGGAGTCCTTGAGATTCTAAGAACTATTGGCTGGAGACAGACAACTGGTTGGTTATTTGGCTATAAATCGTTCTCAGGAGCTTAGATGCATTCACTCTTTCCGATCACCCAGATGCATTTAACTCTAATGTGTATTTTTTCCATCATGCTCTTCTTTATCCCTAACATTTCTGCTTATTCAAGTGTTGGTTTGTAGGGATTTGATTAGTTACAGGATTTTCATCATGAGCTGACATTAGTTAGAGAACCATTGGAAAACCTACCAGGGAGTACTGGACAGCTGTTTCGTCAGTCTAGTTTGGGACTCTTCACCAAAACGTACCCACTGGGATTCGAACCCAGGACCTTCTGGATACAAGGCGAGCTCGTAGACCATTAAGCCACTGGGACCCGATCCAATTGCCAGTCCGTGAATTCTAACTTCTGCCAATTCACGACATACCGCGACCGCTAGCCAATCTCTTCGGTGAGTATTTGTCCTCACACCTGACCTGCTGCACCCTACTGGCCACGACTTCTCACTAGATCGGTCGGTCGGTCGGTCGGTTTTCGACATAGAACTTTGCACATATGTGCGCCAGTTCAAGTCGCCACAATCTATGTAGCACGCAAAGCAAGAGAAGGAAGTAGAAGAAATGCATAATATAGACAGTAAACAGAGGTGTGAGACAAAGGAATAGTAATAACGAAGAACAAAACAGTTTCATTGGAAATCATAAGTCACAAGGAGTGGATGCATCTGCGCCAGCCATTGAGAACGATTTTGAGCCATGTCACCAATTGTTTCCAACCAGTGGTTTTTACCATCCCGAGGGCCCCAACCAGGAAGTCTACATCTTCCTACGTGGCTTAGATTAACTGTTGTGGATTTCATTGATTGGTGCCATGTTTTGGTTTGACCGCCGCTAGCTCTTTTGATTTGTTTGGTTACAGGATTTTCATCATGAGCTGACATTAGTTAGAGAACCATTGGAAATCCATTGGATCCATTGGACTTGCCCTATTCAGGTAGATAGTTACCTGGGGTTCTAGTGAGAAGTCGTGACCAGTAGGGTGCAGCAGGTTGAGTGTGAGGACAAATACTCACTGAAGACATTGGCTAGGGGTCGCGCTATGTCGTGAATTGGCAGAAGTTAGAATTCACGGACTGGCAATTGGATCGGGTCCCAGTGGCTCAATGGTCTACGAGCTGGCTAGTCTTGTAACCAGAAGACTCTGTGTTCAAACCCTGTCGGTGGGTGCGTACTGTGAAGAGTCCTAAACTAGGACGAAACAGCTGTCCAGTACTCCCTGGTAGGTTTTCCAATGGTTCTCTAACTCATGTCAGCTCATGATGAAAATAATGAATATATTTTGAGGACAGAACTGTATGTGCAATGCGAGATAAGGTTTCACAATTGGAAATTACTTGACTTATTCGATGTGTATATAAATGATGATGATTCCTACCAGGAGACGAAAGAAACACATAGAATATACAACCACTTCTGCCTGATAAAGAAACGTAGCAACAAAGAACCGGTGCCATCCACCTCCTCAAAACATTTTTCATCGTTTACCTTACAAAATGAAATAAAGTTGCCCAGAGTTCTAGCGGGAGGCCATCACACCAACCGATGGGGTCCACCAGATTTTAGGTGTGAGAACAAATACTCGCAAAACTCGCAAATTGACAGAAGTTATAAATCCAGAGTCATTATTGGATTCCAACCCAATAATTGACTGATTGGTTAACCAGCTTGGCCTCGTAACCTGAATGTTCCAGATTCGATACCTAGCGGTGAGGTCATGGGATACGTGTACTGTTGAACAGTCCCTAACAAGGACATAAAAAAATGTGTGTTCAGTGCTCCCTGCTAGTTCTCAATAGTTCTCTAACAACTGATATACCAACCCGTGATCGAACTAGAGAAACGCGATCGCGTTTGAAACTATGTTCACTGGTTGAAAAATTATCATCAGTCGATGCTGGGGAGCAAACACACACCCAACAAACGTGTCCGAAACGGGGTGGTGAAACTAGCATCCCATATGCAACCACTATCAAAAGTGAAGTGAATGTTCATAGAAGGCATTGGTTAATAGGCAGTGTTATATCACGAATTGACAAGGGGTGTTACACAATTCCATCTGTCTGTCTGTTTTCGACATAGAACTCTGCACATATGTGCCGCAGTTCAAGTCACCACACCCCCGCCCCCATGTAGCACACAAAGGAAGAGAAGAAAGTAGGAGAAATGAATATTAGAGACAGTAACAAGAGGTGTGAGACAAGGGAATAGTAATAATGAAGAACAAAACAGTTTCATTGGAAATCATAAGTCACAAGGAGTGGATGCATCTGCACCAGCCATTGAGAACGATTTTGAGCCATATCACCAATTGTCTCCAGCATCCATTGGTGTTTACCGTCCCGATGACCCCAACTAGGAAGCTAGTCTAAACCTCCCTACGTGACTGACTTAAACTAACTGTTGCGGATTTCATTGACTGATGAAGTCATGTTTTAGTTCGACCACCACTGGCTCTTTTCCAACCTGACCCTATATCAACTAACATTGCCTGTCGGTCGAGGAACGCGATGGTTAGTCATACAAGCGTAACACATGTCTTAACCATCTCAGTCGATGTAATTTCACGGCCTCGTCGATTGATTTCCCCTCCTTACCCAGCGCTAAACCAAAACCTAACGTCAATATTGCTCACCTTATTATACCACTTCACACGGGAGATAGAATGCAGACACCTATGATCAAAGACAGCTAGTCTTTTCATGTTTTTCTCTCTCAATGGCCAGGTCTCACAGCCATAAAGGAGGACAGAGCAGATTGCTGAGAAGTACACACGCCCTTTGGTCGATAGCCGCATATCACGTCTACTGAGCCAGAGACGGCGTAATTTGGCATATGCGAAACTAGCCCTCTGTATTCGTGCTGAGATTTCGTCAGAGATCCATCCCAAGTAGCTGAATGGTCAACGAGCTCTGATGCCGTATAATCTGACGGTTTTGGATTCTATCCCTCCCTAGTGAGGTTGCTGATAGATAAGCAGGGCTGAAGCGTGCCAAACAAAAAAAGGACAAGCCAGTAGTTGATTAGTGTGCTCTCTCTAGTGTTCAATGATCAATAATCAATAAGAGCAATTATTTTTCTTGCTTACTTTATGTTCTTCTGTTGGCGTTTGTGCTGGTAGTTTATTTACTGTCACCATAGGATAATCTGGTCGTCCAGATAACAAAGCAGAATATTCCTGTTGTTTCGGTTGTTGTGTAGGTTGATTATTCGAAGTGTCATTGCCACCAGGTAACGCTACCCCACCCCTACTATTGTTGTTGTTGCTCTCTGGATTACGATTCGCCTCCAGTAACTTTAAAGTTAATAGTCTAGTTAAATGTGGTTGAGTAACAAACTCGTGCTGGAAAAAATAGATCGAAAAAAAAGAAATATATTAAAGTATGAATTGAAAACACAATGAATAATAGTAAGGCAAAATAATGCATGATTAAATATTTCAATCAAATTATCCTATACAACAGTGTTATAATTGACAAGTAATAGCACCCACCCAAACCCACCCCCACCCCCCCCCCAGTAAACGACTTGGTATAACCGAGGGTGGATGGAGACACCCGCTTTTTTGCCTTCGCGCAACAAGAGTGTTCGCTACAAAAGCGAACGCGTGAGTTCCAGTGTCTAGAGCTAGCTTACAATGGGACTGATAAAGATGATTGACCTACCTACCTACCTACGGGAGCTGGAACACCTCGATTCGAAAACCTATGGGGTATGCATGGGATCCAAATACCGAAAGAATCGAATGGTGTATGAATCTGTTTTGACCACCAGAAACCATCGGGACGTAGCATTGGGTATCACACTTCAAGTAAAAAGCTCGAACAGGTGACACCTTAAACAACAATCACTTGCTTCGGTCCCGGCGTCCGGACAGTTTCCAAGTCCTGGCAGAAACTATGAGATCTTGTGTATCGCATCTCTAGGTGCCTAAAATGTACCAAGTTCTGAATAGATCTCCTCCAGTGGTTTGGGACTCTTCAAAAGTACACACACCCATGACACCAACAGAGAGGAGCTGAATCAAGACCTTCCCCGTTTACGAGATGTCACAGATGCGTACCGCTGAATTATTTCTTCCTCTATACAATATACACGGTGAAGAGAACCACTAGAAACAATATTGTACTATGCGGCAAGAACACCACACTTTATAAGAAGTATCGTTTGGAATAAAGCCATTACTAATATCACTGAAGCGCCCCAAACTAGGATTGGCGACCATGCAACCGGTACTCGTCGGATCATTGAAGTAAAGCAACGTTATGCCGGATTAGTACTTGCATAGATGATCTGGTTAGGAACACCGGTTATGGTTGCCGGCTTTTGTGTGCATAGAATGTGTGTGGTAGAAAGCTCGCCAACCATGCACCATAATTAGCTCCCAGGATAGACGTCTGGAGCGCTGGAAAGAACACTACGAGGAGCAGTTTAATTGGCCTACAGCCACACTTAACCTGCCGAACATCCAACACCTCCCTGAATGGGACATAGACACAGGTCCTCCGTCCTTAACTGAGGTTACTAAAGCTGTCACTAATCTGAAGCAAGGCAAAGCAGCGGAACCTGATGGATTGACTCCAGAGGTATTTAAGTACGGTGGAGACAGTTTACTGTCTGCGTTAACTGAGGTTCTAGGCAGCGTCTGGGAATCAGAGGAAGTCCCATCGGGTTGGTGTAAGTCACTGATCATCCCGACATACAAGAAGGGAGACAAGTCTTCCTGTGATAATCACAGAGGGATTAGCTTGACTAATATAGTATCTAAAATCCTAGGCTCAATAATACTGCGTAGACTAAGTGGTGCTCGGGAGACACAAACACGAGAAAACCAGGCAGGTTTTAGGCCAGGAAGAGGGTGTATTGATCATATCTTCACCCTTCGACAGATTCTAGAACATAGGCATTCCTACCGGCGTCCGACAATCACTATATTTCTTGACCTAAAGGCGGCATTCGATTCTGTCGACCGAGAGGTTCTCTGGCGGTGCTTGGCTGTGAAGGGAATGCCGAGAAAATACATTGCACTGATTAAGGCACTCTACTCGTACTCATGCAGCCAGGTGAGGGCCTATGGCGAGTTGTCATCTGAAGTGGTGACGTGTCGAAAACCGACCGACCGACCGACCGCCAACCATGCCACACGTGTGATCCACGTCCAATTCCCGACCGCCACCGGGGAAGCATAGTCGTGAGAGAGAAAAAATGGTGTAGGACGAAAGATCTGTTCAATAATAATACTTTCTAGTTTCGATTGCTTTTCGAAATGGTGTCAGATTGTGATCTAAATTCTACAACAACAAAAAAAGTAAATTTAATAATCTATTTCATTGAAGAGTTCAAAAGCACATTGACTGACACATTGTGAATAGCAATACTAATATATCTCACTGATCTCTCTCTCTCTTTTGGTCACATTATATATTTTAAAAAATGAATAATCTCCCCAGGGCAATTTCATAAATTTACGTTGATAGAACAGCTGGCTACTTATTGTGTTAGTAACAACATGCTCTCTCTATCTGGGTCGTTCGACAAACACATTCACACACACACGCACAAATATTTAAGGACGAGTGAGAAATTAAGCAAATCTGACAAAAAACGATAGATGGATAGAATCGAACAGCTGATTGAGACCTCTTTTTATGTTCTCTGACCTGTAATAAGGACACTGCTAGCTATACAATACAATACAATACAACACTCTGCATAACTGTGAGCACATATTATGTCATTACTATCATCATTTTAATATCACAAAATATGAAAATTCTACTTAGGGTACAACACACACATACACACACACGTTCATACATACATGCACAGCAGCGTTATCTAAAATATTTCCTGTCTCTACTAAACCTAATGTGTCATAAAATGACGAAGAGAATGAAAAATTTTATCGATTCTAACAGTAATTATAATAATAGTAGTAGTAATAATAATAATAATAATACTATTAGAGTTTTAGAGACACGGGAGAGAAAACTTAAAATTTCACTACCTTCCAACAACAACAACAGTAAGGGAAATCAATAAGACCTATGAAAGAAATATGCGAAATGTCAAACTAAAAGTTATGCAGCATAGAGAGAGACGAATAGATTTTGCAAAAAAAGGTTGAAACTAGTATTTCCTGTCTCCCCCCCCCCCAACTGGTGTGATTGATGATATATATAGATAAGACCGAAATGCCCCATTTGATTCCTTCTGTTGACACATTTCTACTCTTATGGTAGTACAAACACTTTGAAAGGGGGAATGCCGCCTTTCCGTGGATAGCTCTCAAATAAGGTCTAATGGATAACAGAGCGTTTTGGTATTTGAAATGATGTGGGGGGTGGGTGTAGAATTTTCAAGACTTAGGTTAGAGTAGAGACACAATCATTTTCACTAAAGATTTAGGTATCATTATTGTTCCCTTGGGTTCCTAGTGGAACATAGGGCTTCAACTGCACGTCTCCACTTGCTTCTGTCTTCTGCTGTACTTCTCACTCGCATCCATGTTAGTCCATACTGTTTCAACTCCTCTTCACACGATCTCCTCCATGTCACCCTTGCACTGACGTCCCACTCGCCACTTCCCTTTCGGGTTCCACTCAAGCAATGGCCTGACGCGCGATGTCACCCAGAGGCCTCCTCAGCGAGTGTCCAATCCATCTCCACTTTCTCCTGCATATTTGTTGACCGATTGGTTCTTGTTTTGTTTGTTTCCATAGTTTCTTGTTGGTGATTCTTTCTGGCGGCCACCTGATCTTCAGTATAGAACGAAGACAGTTTTTGATAAAGGTCTGCAACAGGCTGTTGGAAATATTCTTTGTGACACACTGGCCAAGTTTCTGATCCATCTGTATAGAAGAACTGACTGACTTGACGTTTGTATTGAAAATCCGAATCATTTTGTTGTTGATGCAGGCTGAGTGACGAAGATTTCCAGATTGGTTTCAGGTTGATGAATGTAGAGATTTAGGTATACTCTTAGCTAATGAGTCCCAAAAAATATATAACGAAATATCCTTTACTGAACACAGATAAATCTAGTGGAAGAAAATATTCGAATAAGCAACCTAAATAATAATCGGAACGATAGCAATTGTTGCACAGCATGAATTTTAAGAATATCTTTTTGGACCGATGAGAAGACTCGAACGAATCACACAGATCTATAAGATAATGCCTAAATCAAAGTCCTGCAGAGGGTCAATCACAAGCCTAAATAGCTTATAGTGGTACCCCGTCTCTGACTGACTGCAGAACTGGGTAGCGCACAGGTTCAAATCTCAGAAGGAATGCCAGTTCCCTTCCAAGATTGCAGACAAGTGCCTCGCTGACAAGTGCCAGCCAACAAGCACAACACGAAGGTCTAAGACGTCTTGATGATTGCCTTCAACATCCAGTAATAAAAACAATTCAGAGTTCCCCATGATGTCAAGACGCCTAGCATGGTGGATTCAGTCTACGTTGTGGTCAGGAAATAACCTCATTTTGTCCCAAGGTTAAGCCTTCGGCTAATCAATAACCAATCTGAACAGCTTATTATCCGCTGACCTAGTTGACCTTAAATGTGGTGTTTTTCCGTCATAAAAACTTCCGTTAAGACGTCTCTTGTCTTCAACCGTTGCTTTTGGTGTCGCTGCCTTCAGACAATGAAGATCCCATGCCCTGCTTGCTGCTTTCGAAGTAGGATACATAAGGAGCTACTACTTGAAAAATTTCGATTTCAATGCTGAGTTGATGATGGGTGGTCAAGGATTCAATGGCGAAGTCACTTGTGTTGGAGACGCTACCGAAAGGTCGAACAATGACGGCGTATGACAACAGTGTGGAGCGACCAAGAGATGAAGAGACCTGAAAAGGATTGGTTGGACAATCGATGGCGGAGTTCGACAGCCCGACGTATAGACCTCAGGTACTGCAGCAATTCTGTGATATGAAACTGGGACCAGACGGGGACTCGCTGGTTATTGACGGTGAAGCTGACAAGTCTACTTCGTCGCGCGCTTCCCGTGCTTAACGAAGAGCTGGAAACGCAGCTGTAAGCCTCCCGGTGATTTATCGAAAGTTGTCCAATGAAAGTATTTCTCAACCACAACGAAAGCTAAATCCAAAAACGTGAGAGGTATAAACACTTCTGCTTCTGTAACCACTAACTTGAAATGTTGACTTCAATTTTAGCTACTTCTCATCAATTTGTATCTATATACTGACAATAAACCTTGTCAGTAACACACTAGTTACTAGAGCCAGTGCCCAATCAAAGATAGACATTTGCACAACAAGCACATCATCAATGAGCGGCACACACACAATACAGCTATAACAGGTGCAAAAACAAAGTGACAACAACGGAGAGTAGAAAAGTACAACAACAGAACATACTCGTAATAAAGCTTGAGCTGTTGGTCGCTTTTTTTCACTTTTTGTTAGCGCCGCCTTGAGGAAATTATGAAATTTTTGAGACCTAAAAAGTAAATGGGAAAGAAAATAATAATAACAGCGATAAAGTAGGGCATTTCATGGTTGAGTAGACTTAAGAAAAGTTAAACTGCTCAAATTATTTAATCCAATAGCTGTTGAATACTTCATTCATCCTTGAGGGTTGGGGTGGGGGAATGAAGTGTAACTGAAAAATTCAAGAAAACTTACGTGTCCCCGATAGCTGTTAACTTGATGTAATGGTCAGGCTTGCATATTGCAATGATCCAACGAGTTAGTTCCACTGCCTGGAATTACTGTTCCCTGTAGATTCTACAACGCCACGAGAAACGTTGTTTGGATAAACAATTAGGCGCGGAGGGGGAGAAATGAGTTCTGTGGGCGAAATCACACTCTTACTGTATAGTAGATGCACGTCATTTTTTTTGAAAAAAAAAACGCTAATTTGGTACATTTTCCTTGACAAGGTTCTCAGCATTCTTGTTTTCTTTTCCAGGTGCAACGGGCACTGGACAGGAAACAAACGAAGCACGGGATCCAACGAACAACATCGAGGAAGCTATGTACAGACACCCTATTAGCATAGGCAGACAGACCAGCAGGCTCTCCATCAAGCCGCTCGGAAGATTTTTTTCACCCATCAGGGAACCATCCAGATTTTTTTACTTCCGGCTGGTCATGTCTTAGGGTCCTCACAAACCCACTAGGGGGGGGAGTGAGCTGTAGCGGTAAATAATTCCCCAAAATTATTAACCACAGCAATCATCACTCAACATTGGATGCTGACCATACTGTTTAAGTCGACTTGTTTAGCTGAAGGCTTCCGGTCAAGCATCCCCGCCATTTGGTACTCCGTCGTGTCACGTGCGTGCACGATTACTAGCTAGCTAAGCATTCACCTCTACCCGCGATTTTGTCCCGAAATATACTACGTACTTTGGACGACAAAATTTGGTCTTTTGCTTTATCTTTGGTACTCGAAGAGCGAACACTATAGAAGTTGTTGGTATAAGATCTTGCGTTAGTATAATCCGTACAACTCGCGAACGTCGATACCTGCAACCTCTAAACGAGGCAGTAAGATGCCTCTCCACTCCGGAGGTGTTAAGAAAAGGTCAACCTCGAAACTTCCACATTTCAACTGACCTTGCGTCGATAAGATTGTCACACCAATTCATCAAACAAGTAGTGTGTATGTGTGTGACCAGCCTGAATCAGTTGTTCCACGGTAATCTGAGGTCAGGCAACTTCCACAGTGTGAGCAGCCAGGAAGTAATAGTAACCGCCCATCTACGCCTCCAGAAACACACAAAGATTTGTTGATAACCAACCATCACCCCCCCCCAGACCCACCCGCGCCTTTGTACACGTTACTTTCAGCATCCGGCTTTCCTTCTGCTGTTCATACTGTGTTCCACAGACAGGTGGTCTCCCCCCTTCCTCCTCTTCTACCAACTTTGCGACCACTCATAATGACGACAGCCACAAAACAAAAAAACACTACTACTAGTGTACACACAGAGACAAATTGGTCAATGTCTAATATGACTAATATGCTCGAAATCGAACAAGGAAACCAGTGTGTGTTTAGGTTTACCCTTTTTCTAACACAAATAAATCTAAACTATTTCTCTTTCTTCAATTTGTCCTTAAATAATAACACCACCACCACCACCCCCCACCTACCTCCCTCCCCCCCACACACACACACATTGGAACATACAACGTGTACGTGATTTGTACACGAAGTAAACAAACAAACAAACCAACGTGCTTATGTGTGTGAGTGTATACACACACAAATGTAGACATTCACACTAAATGAAATAAATAGTGCAGACATTACTCTTAATACATATTCTATTTGTCTACACATTGTCACTGTAGCAAAAACAATGAAATCAGCACTCTTTATACACACCACAAAAAATTAAGACAAATTGATCTATCTATCTATATACATGTATAAATGCAAATTATGTAAGTTAGTCTGTGTTAGTAGACAAATAAAAACCGGATACATAGATTGATATTTAGTTTTTGTATATGACTAGTAGTAGTAGAGTAGTGGTAGTTGGTTATTCTATTATTTTTTTTCAAATATGAAGTTTCTGTAGTGATTGCGTTGATCTTTCGGGAGAGACAGACAGTAGGGCTGTTAGCCCGACACCAAAACTTCCCCCTATTATTATTATTATCATTGTTTCCTTTAATTCCTAGAGGAACATAGGGCTTCAGCCGCACGTCTCCATTGCATTCGGTTCTCTGCTACAGTCTTCACCTCCTCTTCACATCACCTCCTCCAAGTCACCCTTGCACTGACGACCAACTCGCCGCTTCCCTTTCGGGTTCCACTCGAGCAATGGCTTGTCTAGTGATGTCACTTGATGGTTTCCTCAGAGTATGGCCACCAATCCATCTCCATTTCTTCCTGCCTATTTGTTTCACAATCGGTTCCTGCTGAGTTGGTTCGCTCCAAGAAATCCCCGTTGCTGATCTTTTCTGGCCAGCCATCTGATCTTGAGTATTGAGCGAAGACAACTGTTAATGAAGGTCTGTAGTTTGTTTGAGATGCTCTTTATGACGCGCTGTGCAAGTCTCTGATCCGTATAGTAAGTAGCACTGACTGACTTCACATTGGAGTTGAAAATCCGGATCTTATTTTTGATGCTGAGTGCTGTTGACCTCCACACAGACTTGAGAGTAGTGAAAGCTTGTCTTGCTTTCCCGATTCTCGCTGCTTTGATATCCTCGTCAGTTCCGTCCGCCTGTAGTTGAAACGATGCTTCCTAGGTAGGTAAAAGAGGTTGTTTCTTTCAGGTTCCTCCTATTTATGCTGATCGTTGTCTGTTGTTGTTGTTCTTGTCCAGGAATCTTCATTACCTCTGTTTTCTCTATGTTCACCTGAAGTCCCCCTATTATTCTGGGCTTATTATTGTTATTATTATATATGTAGGGCTTCAACAACACATCTTCACTTTGTTCTATTTTCTGCCATAGTGTCTTCAGCTGGCTATGTTCACGATTGCCAAAACTCTCTCATCTCTTCCTCACACACGACCTCCTTCATGTCACCCTCGAACTGACGAACTACTCGTTGCTTCCCATTTGGATTCTACTCGAGTAATGGCCTGTATTCGCACGAGATGTTATTCGACAATTAGGCGAACCAACCATAAACCTACAGCCCAACAATTTGCGGAAAAAAATGGAGATGAAGAGGCGACACACGCTTAAGAGACCAATTGAGTAAAATCGTGCACCGAGCATTCCACCGTAGAGTGAAATACCAATAGGACACAACGAGTTGGGTCGGTCTGTCTGTCTGAATTCAACATAGAACTTCGCACCCAAGTGCAGCACTTCGAGTTACCCCGTTCCAAATACCACACAAACGTAGACAAGAAAATGAGTGAAGAGAATCAATAGAGTTTTGACAAGTATAAGAGTGAATGAAACAGAATGAGTAATGGTAGAAAGGAATATGAAAGATTACAGAGACTGAATACATCTGCACTAGCCATTGACAACGATTTTCAACCATGCCACTCACCTGTTGTCTCCAGTTTCATTGATTCTTAGAGTCCCGAGGGCGGGCCCCAACCCGGAGGAAGTCTGCATCTCCCTCCCTACCTCACTCAGTTTAACTGTCAAGGATTTCATGGATTGATGAGGCCATGTTTTTGTTTGGCCGCCACCACTTACTCTTTTCCAACCCACAACAACTATATCAGCTAGTAATGCCCGTCCGTCGGGGGCAGGGAGGCGATGGTTAGGCATGTGCAGCACGTCACCTACCCATCTCAATCTATGTGACTTTATAGCCTCTTCGAGTGATTTTCCCTCTTTCCCCAACCAACACTCTACGCCTAACGTCAACATTACTTACCTTATACCTTATACCACCTAACGTGAGAAACAGATCGTAGACATCTATGATCAAAAACAGTCAACCATTTCATGTCTTCAACTCGTATTGACCATCTTTCAGAGCCATAGAGAAGGACGGAGCGAACTGATGAGCAGTACACACGTCCCTTGGTTGATAGCCGGATGTCACGCCTACGCCAGAGATGGTGTAAGTTGGGTGTGAATCCAAGGGTGACATGGAGGAAGGAGCGGGGGGGTGAATCGTGTGAAAAGCAAATGAGAGAGACTGGGAGTGATTGTGGAGTCAGCTAAACACGACAATATAAAACAGAATGAAATGGAAATGCAGTGATGAAACGTTGACGGACTGGTTTCATCATCGAACTTTGCACAGAAGTGCAACAGTCAGGGTTGTAACACTCCATCTCTATAGCGAACATAAAAGAAGACTAAAGTGAGAAACAAGAGATTCATAGGTACTATACATAAGCAAAAATGTGAGGTAGAAAGTAAGAATAGTAACATGGATAACCACAAGGGGTTAAATGAACAAAGAGTAAAAAAGATATTTGCGTCACTTAGAACGACTTTGACCCATATCACTAACTATCCCCAGACACTGACTGTTAGCATCTTGAGGACCCCAACCAGTTGGGAAGTCTACACCTCCCTACATGGCTTGCTCAAACTAACTGTTATGGGTTTCATGGACTGATGAAGCCACGTTTTGATTTGACCACCACTAGCTTTTTTCTAACCTGATCTATCCTATGTCAGCTGATATTGACCTGACCGTCAAGGTCTATTTGTTCCGAAGACTGTGTAGAGAAAGAACTCCAGGTCATCCGAGACATTCTAAGCGAGAACGGATATCCAGAGAAGTTCATTAAAGCCAACATAGGTTACAATAGTCGTAAACATGAACTGGCAACGGTGGAGAAAAAGCCTCTGTTTTTACGTCTCCAATTCAAGGGAGATACTCCTGCGGAGATTCTATCCCAACGTTTAACCAGGGCGATCAAGAAAACTTTCTACTCTGCACGTCTGTGTCTATCCTTCAGTAGCCATACAATTTTTACCCAGCAACTCAAAGATGTCTTGCCTAAGCTTAGCTCTTCTTCATGCATATACCATTTCAACTGTTCCTGTGGTTCA